CCTTATTTATTTTTCTTGCAAATATTTTTAAATATGCTGCAAATCATATTATGCTCGCAACATTAATAACGCAACAATAGCAGATGCACAGGTACGCTTTTACAGTTTATCTACAATATTTTACTTTACTGCATTTTTAACTTTCAAGTATATTTTATTTTCCTGCGATTTGTTTATTCTGCATGCAAAACCAAAACTGAAAAAAAAACAAAACTAAACATTGACACAAAAACTGTGAAGCGTAAACTACTAATCTCAAGCACTTAAACCTTAGAGTCGTCGCGACGAAAGAAGTTTGTAGTCAACTTTGTGGGCAGCACGGCGAGGAATTCAGACCGAGCAGCGAGAGGATCTTCTTCAGCATTATCCCTTCCTAGCATAATAACAACTCATAGAACTTTGATGTAGCACCTCTAGCGCGACGTAAATCCTCACATTCCCTCTTTAAGCACCTGTGCAAAAATATTGTTCAGTGTAAGTCCTAATTCGCTTTAGGTTCTGAGGTTGTTGTTCGTTACAACGTAAACCCTCTTATCTCTGCGGGTTATTTGCATAATCAGATATTATGCAAATGTATGCAAATGTAAGTCTCAAATAATAAAATTGACAGGATTAAACATTCAAATAAAATCTTCTCTAAAATGTAGCCGTACAGTAGAATAGTTTGAGAAGTCACTGAGGTTCCTCCTCAAGATCTGTGACGCCTCATACCCTTTACTTCCATTGAACTCCTGAAAGAACTGTTCCTACTTGAGCCACTTTCACTTGTTTTTCCACGTCCTGCCGTGAAAACCTAAACCTTGGAATCTTGAAGACTAGAACCACTGATCGTTATCAAGATTTTTCTCAAGTGACCCCAGTCATTTGAGATGTAATTAACTATAGAGGTTTGCCTCTATAGAGAACTTGAAACCCAGGTAAAATAAATCTTATTTAATCTTTGTATTAGGTAGGGGAAGTTGTCGTTCAACATACAAAAGGTTCATAGACCAAAATAGAGGAATAAATCACAAATATCTTAGTTTGCATGATTGGGCCTATCGCCGAGATCTACACTTATCTTTCGGGAGGGTGTAGTATTTGCGGTATCAGACACGATTATGCAAACTATCAGACTAATGAGATCTATTTGGTCTCATTTTTTTAAAAATTAAAACATACTACTTTTAGAACTCAAACAATATATATATTATATTAAATTAAATTTCAAAAATTATTTTCATATACCATATTTTCAAATCTATCAAAAAGTTGACCGACAATGCTCTTGCCTCTATTTTCAACACAAGATCATCAGAATGGATAGTAGATTTTGTTGCATCTTGACATGTGAAAGGTAATGCTAGAGAGTTTTCTTCCTATACTCTCTTAGCAGAATCGCAGAGCATCCAAACTATTGATAGTACAACACAACTTGGGTATAGTAAGGGAAATCAATTATATGACTTTGTCCAATATTTGGCATGCTCCCTTTTTTTCAATGAAAATTTTATCCATTAGAGACATTGTTCTGCAGTTAAAATGTGTTGTTTTCTTGTTTTTTATATTCTTAAGGTGATCTTCGAAGAGAAAGGGACAGGTCTGACACCTAGGACTAGAATATGACATAATGGACCCTGGTACTTAGATCGGGAGGGGATGGGCTCAACTTTGGCATCCACGGTAGAAAGAGATGGAGTACAAAAATCTGGGAGGAGTGTGGACAGTGAGTTGCTACATCACAGATGCAGGAGACACTCTTATTTTAGTTTATTGAGTCGATTGTATCCTTTTTTGTATTAAAAGACAAATAAACAAAAGCTTGTTTATAATGTTTGTGAGTTTGATAAACTTGCTAGGAACTCTTATATCAGTTCTGGGAATAGGAGTTCTAGTGGTCGGGCTTAAGATGGCAAAGGAACTCAAGGTGGACGAAAGAACTCAAATAAAATTGTGGTGCGATAATAAGTCAGCAATCAACATTGCTACAAACCCGGTGCAACACGACAAAACCAAACATATGGAGATTGATAGATTCTTCATCAAGGAAAATCCGAATAACGAGCTACTAAAGCTAAGTCATGTAGCCACTGAAGAGCAAGTGGATGACTACCTCATTAAAGAACTTAGTTCATTAGATTTGTCTAGGTTATGTGACTAGATGGGCTTAGTGGATTCTTTTCTCCATCTTGAGAGGGAGTGTTGAAAATTGGACCTTATTAAGGGTCGATTGGTAAAAAGAGAATATTGAAGAAGTCTAGGGGTTTATTTGTAAAATATTGTAATACCCTATTTTAGCCAATGTTATGAATGTACATATTAACTTTTGAGCAAATTTTTTCTTTTGATATGTATGTGTAGTAAACTAGAAGGCTAAATTACAAATGTTTATATTAAGGAGAGGTAAGAATAACATCTACTAAAGGTAAGGTAAATAAAATAGACTTACGTGGTTTGAGGATGTACAATAGATGGCAGAAAATGTCCGTTGGAGAAGTAAAATTTATGTTAGATGATTAAAAGAAAAAGGGATAGATCTATATATAAATAAAATCGATCAAAATGATCTATAGAGAATAGTTTCAGACATCACTTTAAGAGAAATGAACTTTAATGATAATCCATGATGCAAACTTTGGTTAACAATAATGATAATGATGATGGAATAAAATAAACATATGCTAAATGCAACTGGACATGAAAATACTAAATGCAAATGTAAAAACAATCACTCTTTAATAACAAAAGATTACTACAAAATCAAAGATTAAAATATTATTTATACTTAGTCCATTAAGTTACCAATAATATGCATAAGCATAGCCAAAAGAGGCAGGCAAAGGAAAATTATATATGCCAGTTTGGACAACAATGCAAGTGATAACTTAATCTATAGTTTTCAAAACATTATAAGTTTGGACAACAATGCAAGTGATAACCTAATCTAGAGTTTTCAAAGCCAATATTGCTAGTTTACGTTTAACACACCCTAAACTCCCAATATTTGTTGGATTTCTCCCTTATATAGGCCAAATAGCCAGTAGGACTGTAGCGAACGCACACGCTTACTTTTAATGAAGCCTTACAATATAAGGATCGTAGCTAAATTAATAAACTTACAAGTGAACAAGAAATATGAATCCAACTAAAAGTAAAACTTATACCTACAAAGATAGTCAATCCATCTCTATTGTTAACATTTTTTTGTGATGAAACACTTGAACTTCAAAAGAAAGAAACAATTCTGATTGAATGTGAATGTTATGTACAGTTTACTATGAACAAAAAAACTTGTTTGAGCTCATATTTCCACTAAGAAACAGGTGTAAGTTGCTCCAAATCAGTTTAGGATGGGTCAAGGTGCATAAACGCATCTAGTAATAGTGAAGGGCTTCTAGGGAGAATATAGTGTTGGAAACTCGGTAAGAATTCAGTGAATGTTGTTGAATTTCTGAAGTAACAATACGCGATCACGTAAAATTGGTATAAGTCATAATCTCACTAATGAGGGAGAAGTAGATCATTATCTTTGCCTTGGATAATTCTCTGAATGGAATATTCAATAGTTATAATTTATTTCTTAATTTTGATGATTTCACGCGCAAAACACCAGTGATCTGTAGCAGATGAAAATGCTTATTAGAAAAAGCAACGATTATGAGACTTAATTGATACAATGCAACGATTATGAGACTTAATTGATACAATAAAGAACATAGTAAGGGTTTCAAGGCAATCATTGTTAATTAATAAGGCAAAACTTCCATCAACCAAAATTTACATGGCCTATGGTTAGAAATCAAAAGCTCTTGGCTTCTTGATGGATTTCAACTGATTGAGAAAAGAAAGAATTAGAGCACGGAAAGTCAAGATGTGTTTGGTGAGGGGAGATTAATGATAAATTGGGATTAATTGCAAATGGAAGAAATGGAAAAAGGATAGGGTTGGGATCAAATGCAAGTGCGGAAATGAAGGCAACATGTAGTGAAAAGGAAACAAAATGAAATATGGAAAATGTGAAGGTAATGATCCAAGAAAGCAGATGATCCCACACGATGAAGCATCGGGAAATTTAAAGAGAAAAAAATCAAAAAAAGAATGAAGTGAGACAAGAGTGATGCATAGAGATAGAGAGAAGGGAAAAGAAACCAAAAAGAGGAGATAAGCAAACAAAAGAGAGATTACCTAAGATGGTTCTTCAAAGATCAATTTCCAAAGTCATTCTACTTTATTTAGGGGTGTCAAAAATTGACCCAACATGTCAACTCAACCCGAACCCAACTCCATATATTTAGGTTCGGATTGACCTGAATAAATTTTTGTTTAGGTTCAGGTTAGGAATTCTAATTTGTTTAATTTTTCGGGTCGATTCGGGTTGCCCCGATAACCTGAATGGACTCAAAATATCTCGTAAACCTGAAATCAACCCAAAATCGACCTGAATTTGATTTCAATAGCTATTATGTCTTATGTTAAGAGGATTACATGAGTCATGTTCAGGTTAGCAGTTGAAGGCAGGTCATGTTCGGATCGAACTTTTGGGTCAAGTTCATGTCAAGTTGTTTCATGTCCCATCAAAAAGTTCAAAAAGATAACATTCTTGCTAAGTTTTATCTAGAGAGCCTTGTAAATTAGAAATATACGCCTTTTAATGGGAGGCTGGTGAATTCTGTAAATGGAACAGATTTCCGTCACATAGAATACAAATTTACCAGCAAAACAACAGCTTTATTAGCATATGCACTTCTAACTACACCTTTATATCAAAGAGCTTTATTCTTGTAATGCCTTCATTCTATCACATAAATAAGAAAGGTGCGGCGAAACAAATCACAAATTAGCAACATAACATCAGTCTTATTACATTACCACCTCTAATTACACCCATATACCAAAGAAGCATTATTCTAAGTATTGCTTCTAAAATACACATACTGAAATGTGGCTCAAGGAAAACCAACATTTATTGATAGCCAGGTTTTACAAATGCTTGTATAGATAAAATAAAATTAACACCTTACCCTCCCATGAGGCTGCGCAATAGCAACGCTTGATGTGTAGGCACACCAAGTAGGAGCCCATGAAGAATAAATTTTACGTTTCAATAACACGGCCGGGCCTTCAAATTGACATTCAAGCGATTGCCAACCTATTATTAATGAAACAGTGACATGTCCTTTTCATTGTGTAATAGCTAACAACAAACTTTAGCAATATATATATATATATATATATATATATATATAGAGAGAGAGAGAGAGAGAGAGAGAGAGAGAGAGAGAGAGACGGTGTCAAAATAGTCTTCCAACTCTTTGTAGAAAGTCATTTTAATCCCAAAGTTTATAAAAATCTCAATTTAGTCCCCAAACACTTTTAATAAGGGTTGAAATAGCCCCCGTGGAGGATCATTTCAACACCAACTTAAAGAATCTGAGGACTAATTTAGCACTTTTATAAAATTTCAGACTAAAATAACCCCATGTAAATAATTTGAAGACTATTATATATATATATATTGTATTTAAGCCAGAATTCAACTTCAGAACATACAATAAACATCTGACTACAAATTTGTAATATTGAGAATATAGAAAAGAGCCAAAAAAATACCTTCAAATAAAGGGATCCACCTTCTCTGATTCCTCTCAGCATATCCACCAGGTGAACGGCACAAAGGCCAATTAATACCGATCTCTCTTCCCACAAAACACATTGCAATATTTTTATTGCAGGATGATCTCCTAAAAGATGCGGAATCTTTTCTAGCTTCTTCGGAATGTGAACAAGATGAGGTATTTATTTGATTCACAACTGTACAGCAACTTAGTCAAATTTCATGCTCCAAAAATAAATAATAATCTAAATAGAAAATTAATGCAACATGAAAAATATTTAAAATATCAAACAATCAATCAATGCTTAAATCAAAACCTCAAAAAGCAAGGATCTATTCTAGCAACATATATTGTTTATCTCAATATATATCACATTCTTTTGTACTATAGACAGGGCATTTTGAGAAGCATAATAGGATATCACTTTAACTTACAAAAACACAAACGAATAATAATCAAATCAACTTCTACTCAACTTGTTCAAAATGTACTCAATGATCAAAATAACTCTGTTAATTTCAATCAAACCCGCATTAGCTGTCATAATTTAATCCCTAGTTTAAAGCCTCTCTTCAAAAAAATTCACACATATCAAAGCTATAGCATCTACAAATAGCACACACCAAAACACCTCAATTTTAATATTATTTGAATATTAATAGCTATTACTAGCCGTCAGTAATTCATGTTATTATTCAGAGTTCTCAACTTTGATTTCTTTATTATTAATTTCATTTTTTCTACTGTATCATGTTTCGATTTCTTTCCTTACAGGTAGATCCTGTAATGGGTTTATATACCCCTTTTGTATCAATAATAATTCTTCTGGTTATATTCTAACATAGTATCAAAGTCATGGTCCTAATCAAGTTGTTGTTGGGCCTCTCCTTACCGTCGACTGGCCCTTCCAGGCGTCGGGTTACCCTCCAGCCAGTCGAATGCCCTTCCAAAACTTCTATCTTGCCGCCAGGCCCACCTCACAACCGTTGGAGCCCCTCCAAATAGCTTGATGTCCGTCCAGGTTCACCGGAACTCATCTTGTCTCTCCTTACAGCCGACCAGAGACTTGTTCCAGAGGATTCTTTCCCAACCACTGGACTATTTGTCTGTCAGTCGAGTCTCTTTTCAGGACCGTTGGAACCTCTTCCTGATGTCGTATCTCTCCCTTTCAGCAACCGAAATCTTCTGATATCTCAAAAACCCAATATCTCCTTTGGCTAAACGGCAATGACTTTCTCCAATGGTCTCAAGTTGTGTCGTTATTCATCAAAGGACATGAAATTCGGTCACCTCACTGGTATGATTCTTGAACCTCTAAAGACAGACCCAACGTATGAAACTTTGGAAGTGGAGAATTCCATGGTCATGTTGTAGTTGATTAACTCCATAGAGACCTCAATTAGCCAATCATATATGTTACTTCCTTCCGCTAGTGCCCTCTGGACGACAGTCCGTGATACCTACTCAAATATAGGGAATTGCGGCCAGCTATATGAGGTGAATAAGAAAATTCAAGAGGCAAAACAGAGATAAAGGACCGTCACTCAGAACTACAATGATCTAGTTGCATTGTGGATGGAATGTGACATATATTATGACCATACTTGAGACTCTCCGACTGACCTTTATCTCTTTTAGAAAATTTTAGAAAAGGATTGCAAGTTCTAGTTTATAGCAGACCTCAACAAAGATTTGATAAAATTTGGGTCCATATTCTTGATCGGGATCCTCTTCCTTTTGCTTTCATTGAGATTTGTCGCAAAGAGAGCCAGAAACCTCTCGTGCTTGGTGCTTTCATTCTTTTTGTCGAAGCATTTGTCTTAGTCTCTAATAGTGCTTAACCCTCTTTGGTAAAGGATCTTTCCTCATTCATGCTACTCCAGGCCAGTCACCCCACTTGCGATTACAGCACAAACCCAACCACACTTATGAAAAGTGTTGGAAGCTCCATGGAAAACCTGCATACAAACTTTGGGTCAAATATTCCGTTGTCAAGAGTCTCACTACGACATTTGAACCCACCACGATACAACCAGACCCTACTCAGAACATTCCAGAATTCTCTAATTCTCTTAAAAGTCAAAGGAAGCACTTAATCAAACTGTTTGGATCTAGTTCGCTCTCTTCCGGCCCGTCGACCTCCCATGCTCGTCAAGATACCCATCCTATGGCACTCACTTTTTTTGCCTCTTCTCGTCCATAGATCATTGCTTCAGGCACTATGGACCACATGACCGGATGCTCTCAAGTGTTCTCAACAAATTATCCATGCTCAAGAAAAGATACTGTTAAAATTGTTGACTTTCACGGTTCCATTGAGGGTAAAGGATTGTTGTTTTAAGAAAAAATATAACTCTGAAATTTGTGTTACATGTACCTCTGCTGAAATGTGACATTTTGTCAGTCAGAATAGTGACATATGACACTATTGTGTTGCACATTTTTTCTTGAAATTTGTCTTTAAGGATCGTCATTTGGGGAGAATGAATGGAACTGCTAAACGGGTAGCCGGACTCTACTTCTTCCAAGAGAAAGACACAGAGAACGAGGACACTCCACTCAATAGTTGCACTTTATCTCTGTCTATTGAATGTCATATTATGTCGTTGCACTATTGTTTCGGTCATCCTAATTTTCAATATCTAAAATAATTGTATATTTTATTGTTTACTAATAAAAATCTTTCTAATTTCAAATGTGAAACCTATCAGTTAGCAAAATGCCATCGTGTTTTTTATTCACCCCACACTTACACACCTTCTGCTCCGTTTTCACTTATTCACAGTGTCTTTAAGGGACTCTCTCGTACTATAAGTTATACCAATAAACGGTGGTTTCTTACTTTGATTAATAAGCACAGTCGGATGACGTGGGTCTATATTTTAAAAGACAAACCTGGCGTTGTGGTCACCTTCAAAAATTTCTACACCATTTTGATCCAATTCAAAACTCAATCTCAAATCCTTCGGACAGACAATGGTTGTGAATTTTTTAACTCTATATTAGGAGAATTATTGATAAGTATGGGTATCCTCCACCATACCTCAATGTACGGAAACCCCTCAACAAAATTGGGTACCGAGAGAAAAAACAGACATCTTTTCAACGTTGATCACTCCATGATATTTTAATCTAATCTACCAAAATATTATTGGAATGATGTCATACTTACCGACACATATCTCATCAATAGAGTTTCCTTAAAAATTCACATCTTTTGGACCCCATTAGCTGTCTTGAGGTCATGTCTTCCTACCAATCAGGTATTCTCCATTTTAAATCCTAAATTTTTTTGGTGCACGGTCTTTTGTTCGAAACACCACCCCAACTCTGAGTATACTTGATCTATGGTCCATAAAATGTGTTTTTGTCGAATACTCTGCCACTCAAGAAGGCCAACAATGCCTTGATCATATCACAAATAAAGTCTATGAGTGTTGATGTCTCTTTTTTTTAAAGCGTTTCTTGCTTTCCTAACTCGGCCTCCGGTGACGAGGTACTAGAGTTCTTGGACATTGTTCCTTACACTACTCTTGTAGATGTTCCCCTCACTTCTCATACCACCAAGGAGTCATTCGTCCATTTGGTTCCACCATCTCCTCCTCCCACTCTCCATGTCTACACTCGGTGCACTCGTTCTGAAGCACCAACTCTGGAGCTCGCTATCTCCTTGCAGGACCTTAAATCCCCTCCGAGCGACATCCCGAGCACTAGTCCTACTCCAAATGAGGAAGTGAGTTCCTTTAGTAAGGTACACAATCAGACGTGTTGTCCCTATCCCATAGCAAACTGTTTATTTCTACAGTTTATCGTTGACCTACAGAGCATTTGTTATCGCCCTGACTGATCATCAGCTCCCATCTATTATTGAGGTTGCACTAGCAGACCCAACCTGAAAAGATGTCATAATGAAGGAAATGAATGCCCTTCGGCGGAACCATACTTGGGAAATCGTTGATCTTCCTCAGGGTAAGAAAGCAGTGGGATGTCGATGGATTTTTAGCATCAAGTTTAACTCAGATGGATCCTTTGAACGCAACAAGGCACGGTTGATCACCAAAGGGTACTCACGAACCTACTGAGCTAACTATGAGGAGATGCTTGCTTCCATTTCTAAATTAAATATCATTCGAGTCTTATTATCCCTTGCGGGGAATCTGAATTGGCCCTTATTCCAGCTTAATGTCAAATTCTTGAGCGACGTTCTTACAAAGGAGATATACATATTAGTTCCTTCAGGCTTTGACTCCACTACCTCCCAGGAAAAATCCCTAGTGGTGGGTCATGGGTTTACTCAGACTCAATCGGATCGCACTCTCTTCTTCTAGCATTCCTCGAGTGTCAGAATGTTATCCTTATTGTCTATTGACAATATTGTACTCTCAGGTAATGATCTACTAGTATATAGTCTCTAAAAGGCATTCATGCTACTTCCTTTGAAATGAAGACCTTGGGATTTCAGTGGTAGTTCATGGAAGATCGATCATCTCGAGACATTTGTTTGTCTCAGCGCAAATATGTGATTGAACTTTTGACAGAAAACAACATTTTTTGTGCAAATCAGTAGTTGTTTTGATGAATTCCAATGAAAAAGTGCTTGATGTTTCTAAGGTTATTCCTATAAACAAGACTAACTACCAGCGCCTTGTGAGAAAACTTATCTACCTCACCCATACACACCCCGACATATGCAACAAAGTTGGTATAGTAAGTCAGTTCAAGTTTATTTTTTTCCACATCACACCTCTCGTTTTATTGTAGTTTACACAGACACTGATTGGGCCAAGTTCGTCCATGATCGACGATCTACCTTGGAGCACTTCTCATTTGTGTGGGGAAATCTTGTTGCGTGGAAATACAAAAAACAGTCAGTGGTTGTCTGAGCAATGCTGAAGCCGAATTTTAATCCATATTTTTTGGAATCTGTGAAATTCTCTAGTTACGCATCATGCTCAGCAAACTATATATGACAATCTCCGCCCCTCTATGATTGTTTTGTGATAATAAGACCATTACAATTGCTCATAACCCAGTCCAACACGATCGCACCAAGATTGACTGACACTTCATTAAGAAAAAACTCGAATCAAGGAAAATTTGTGTTTCGTTTGTGTCCAGTGATCAGCTGGCGGATATCTTCACAAAAAAAACTTCCTCTGCCATTGTTCGATAACTTCTAATTCAAGTTCAATGTGA